CTAGATGCCAAATAGAAGACACCCTCTTTGGACTAAAATGGGCATTTGTGTTCCCCACTGTGACCCATGCATGTGACTAGCCCTGAGCACACACAGCACCTAGAGCATTGTTAATATTTATTGATCATTCATAGAAATAATCACAAAGACCAATGGACATCAGGCATCATTATAGACCTCCTTGTTTCTTTTTGGATCACCTCACTATATTTTTTTAAGTTATTAATAAATATGGACTTGACATAAGGAATAATGGGCATTGTGAAAATGCTATTAGTATAGGAGGATCTACAGAGAAGATAAGGGATTGCCTTTCTATTTTGGTTTCAAAACAAAGAAAATCCCAATTATGTCCAGAAACAAGGTGATTAACAAAGCAGTCTCTAATGGCTTTATTTGGGGTAATTACATAAAAGTTTTAAATAAATCTAAGGAATTCCAATGGAAATCATTGGATTCAGATCTTTGCAATTCAATTCAATGGGCATGAAGTCACATAGACACCTAGCACCTTGTCCATACTCCCTCTACCTAGTAGGTTCCTATGGTTTGCAAATACTGCATACCTAGGACCTGCCTCCTGCCATACCCCTTTGTCCACCCTCCTGGTTCATAAAATTGGTAACTCTAACAACCAGATACTCTCATCTCTCACTCAGAATGACCCAACAGCCGTATGAGAGTGCTGCCCTTCCCTGAAATAGGATAAAGCCCTAAATCACATTCTTCCTGACTACTACATTGCACCACATAACTAAAGTTTGAGTACTTTCTACTGTCCTTTTGGAAAATGACACTTTCCTCAAGTCTTAAAAAGACACACACACACACACACTCCCAAACACATCTACAGCTTCCTGCTCTCTATCAAATCCAAACTTCTGAGATTATATTTCTAATTCTTTCTTTTAACTATTTTTATCACTTTCCTACTTTTAACCTTTTCTGTGGCTCCTGCTTGAACAGGACAAATCTTTCCCCACAAATGCACATCTTGCTGGCATTAACATCAGCCCTCACACAGACTGTCCCTCTCTGCCTTAAAAACACTATTTCCAAACCCTGTTCAATATGACTCCACTTCCAGAATTGGCTTGGTCACGCTTACAGATAGATATCGGATCTCTCCAGTATGCTCCACTTGCCCCCTGCTCTCCTCTCATTAATGTCCCGTGGCAGAACTCAGGGCCTAGAACTATGCCCTGGGAGAAATCCCAGTTAGGGAAGAGGGTTGGAGTAGTAGGTGGTGAGGTGGAGCCCAGGAGTAGAGCTTCTGCCTGATGATGCTTCCAGCTTGCTTTTCATTCCCCAGCTAGAGCCTGAGGTACAAAGAGTTAACTGGCCACAGCCAAGGAAGTACCCCCAGGCTCTACAGCCCAGTCTGGATGTCTGAGATCGGACACAAGAACCAAGGTCAAAGTCTCTTTCACCACAACAAAGTGAAAGTACAAAGGAAGTATCACAAGTCAGCTGAGACAAAATGCATTATCTTTGGCATTTATGATATGCTCCAGTTCATGATCTTGATGTATGACAACTGAACAGACAGACAATGCAGAGTTTTCTTACTTCTTTCTTGCTTTACTTTATTTGGAAAACAAGTCACCTAATGCTTTGGCATCAGGCAGCAGGACATGATACTCAAACTGCAACAACTACATGTAAGTCTAGCCTGCAAAAGGGAGGAGTGAGACAATAGTCAGAGGATTGACTGGTGTGTAGAACAGGATTTCACTTGTTTCAGGAGGATAAGGAAGTATCCTTATAGTGTAAGCTCCCAGAGAAAAGGTATTTCTGTATTCGCTGCCATTCTTCCTGTACTACCTGTAAATAACTACACAGATGTGTTCAGTATACTTTGGATTGGGTCTAAACAGAGAAATGGGATGGTCCCTCAAGTAGAAACCACCAAAAGTTTCTAAGTGAGAAAGACTAGATTTCGTTTATTAAAGATCAGATTTGAACTAAGTATAAATGAATACAAATGCAAATTCCAAATTAGAAAATTCAGGGAGTACAGTGATTCTCTGTGCAAAAGAACTCAAGCAAAAGCAACATTTTTCTTCCCCCTAAGTTATCAACACCACCCACTATTACCCTCAAATCATCATGCACTCCGTTACACACAGTGCAAGACAATGTTGGTATATACAGAATTCTCCTCTCTGGGAACTTATAATTTAGTGCATTTCATGAACACCTCCCCACCTGCCAAAATAAGTAAAAGATAGATGAACTATGAACCAGGAAAGATATTCCTAAGGAAGAAATGAACAGTCAAGGCAAGGGCATGTCAAGCTCCCACATGGCCTACTAGCTGATGAAAGGTAAGAGTTGTAAGGACCCCATTTTCCAGTGTTGGCAAAACTAGTGAGAATCTTCTATGCACTGTGGGTCAGCTTGAGAAGGCTGCATGGCAGAGGCGGGAATTACCTCATCTTGGCATTGTGTATAAATGTTTCCCAGGAAAACATCAGTTCAAGCTACATCTTCAGCTTGGCCATGATCCAATAAATAGAGCCTCTTTAGGCCTTCCTTCCATGACCCCCACCAAAAACACAAAACAAACTCCACCACACCTTGTGCCAGTAAATCCAGTTTGCCCAATTAGACAGATCCAGGTAAATATTTGCTACAGATATTAATACAGATCAAGATACTAAGATATAATAATAATAATGATAATAATAATAATTCTCAGTCCTGGTCTGTGCAGAAAAAGAAGGGAAAAACCATTGCAGTAATAATAAATGTATAATTTGTCTCCTAGGAAAAGAAAAGTAAAGGTCAGATAACTTCCCAGAAAGGCTGGAAAAAAGCTGAAGCAAATTCATCTCATGCTAAAGAAAATAAATATCCCCACTTATCTCCCAGGAGTCTTCTGAGAACAACCTCAACAAATGAATCATTTACCAGGCATCCTCCCACCTATGAGCTTACTTTGTACTGTATTCTGTTTGCATGTTACATGGAAGAAGCCTTTGTCTCTGTTTCTAAAATAAAAACTCCTTAGGTTAAAACCTCCATGAGGCTAGAAACCCAAATTCTGCAAGTAATATTTACTAGGTGCAACCAAGACTTGAACTTGAAAGCATGGCAGCCTCAGACTGCCTGCTCATTAAACCAAGAGGAAACACATCCACCTCCTCCAACTCACCTACCTACCCTACCAGCCCCAGCACTATAGCTCCCAAAACCTATCCCAATCTGGCAGAGGCTGAATTCCAAGTCAGTGAAAACCCATCCTGATGCAGATTAACACACACCAGACCAACTGTATGTAGACAAAATCCATCCACCCAAATGAAGCCCAAAATCTATGTAGACATAGACCAAAACATTTTGCTTCCTTCCCACAAAATATATGCAGTCCCTGCTACATGCACATACTATACTAGTATCATTGCATCACTTTTTGGGTAAACAATCAGATAGCCAGACCTTCTCTAGAGGCTGTATAGACTCCATATTATCTAGTATCATTCTGGGATAGTTGTCTTTTCCTAGTGCCTCTGGGATAACTACAGAGAAGACAGAGTGAAATGCAATGTTTCTCAACATGACTTCACACATTTACAGGTTTAGATTCAGTCAGAATCCAGTGTTGGAAATTCTTAACATCTCTGTCACTCCAAAACAAGATGATCACTTGACAAATTAGAAAAGCCTGAGCTTCTGCTTCTAGAGGTCTTCAGAACCAAATGGGCTACCATGAAGAATCAGAATGAGATTTTCCAAACAGGAAGCAGAAATAGAGCTGAGAAAGCCAGGAAGTTTGTGCAATTAAGGGATTAGAAAATGATGGGGTACACTGATACCAACAGTGAAAATCACTTTCTTTTCTACTTCTCCCTATGATTCTCCACTCCATTTTCTCAATTCTGAATTCTGCCAACACAGAACAACTAATAAAAGTCCTCAGGAGAAAGCAGTAGAAGAAAATGCATCTGCCCGTCCACCTCATTTTCCAAACTACAACTATAATGTAGGGGAGCACTGATCCACAGTCACTTTTTCCAAGAAACCTTGCTGAACAGCTTTGTTTTCCCCCCAAATCCTTCCTTTCCTTGTAAGCACAGAATCTAGAAATCCATCCACTGGTCCCATCCATAATTTTCCTCTGTTTCCATTTTAGGCTAACAGTTGTGAGGGGTCAGAGCCCATGGTTCCTTCCTCCACGTACCTCCTCCCAATACACACCCTCAGTAATACACTGCACACAAGGTGGCTTAGGAAAGGCAAACTGTCTCTCTGGTTATCTTCTTTCATATTTTTAAATGTGTCCTTCTGTCCTCCCATGTAAGGACTCAGCTGTCTCTGTCTCTCCATCCTCTCTCACCAGATTTGGCTTGGTTCCTCAAATAGCCCTAGGTGGCTGCTCCATTCCACCACCTACTCCCTTTGAAAGTTAATTGTTTTGTTTTGTTTCACTTTGCTTGTTTTGTTTTATTGCAGGAAAGACACCAAATTATCTGAGTTATATGAAAGTTGTATCGTTCCTCAAATTCCTGAGCTATTCTCCAAATACAGATCCATATGACTTCTCCACCAAGACCCACTTGCCTCATCCCAACTCAGACAACATAATCCACAACAGAGAGCCTCTGCCACCACTTCTAGGGACACTCTGTATCCCTCTTCCTATTTCTTTCTCATGCCCACACTGCTTTGTGATTTCTGTGATAATCAAAGAAAAAAGAAACAAGGATAAAGCAAATGAATATAATCCAAAAATTATATTTATCAATTTGGAATATACTTGGTGAAAACATTGGCCTTTACACATGACTTTGCTTTAACTAAGGTTAAAATGAATCTGCCTTCTGGAAGCACATAACAGGTATCAATTGATAATGGAGAGAAGACCAAGAACTGTTAGAGGACAAGAGAAAGACAACCTAGAAATCAACATTTGCCACATATAATCAATAAAACAGGTGTCATGCATGGATAAGTGTTACCTGGGCTTCTGGTATTGGGATGCTGCCCACAGTGTAGCAATGGGGAAGCTGGAGGGTGAAGAACAGTTTAAGGTTCCAAAGGCCTTCAAAATTAAAGAGTTATAAATGAGTTTTCTGATAACAGCAAACTGCCTCTTGGTGACTCAGTGTTTTAATGACCATGAGGCAGCCACATTCCAGGGGAATTTGGTAATATTTCTTCCTACAGCCAGACCTGGCCTATAATCCATCCCCACCACAATTTTTTTTAATTCTATAAGAAAGGCCAGGCGATACCTTCAGCAGCTATAAAAAGAGATGTTTAGCTCCTTGAGCCTGGAGGACAAAGACCCTTAAATCCTCTCTGGTGATGGGGAACCACCTTATCACACTGGACCTGCTGTTCTGCAAAGTGTACACCAATGTCCTCCCTAAGAAGATGTGACACAGAGACTTTCAGAATCTCCAGTGAGAAATGAAGCAAAACATGAAGGAGTCAGGAAAGACTGATGGAAAAATCTTCATTCATTCAAGGAACATGTCTGAGCATACTCTGTTTTGGGGCCTATGGAAAGACAAAGATGAAAAAAGCAAGCTCTGCACCAGGTCAGAAAGGAAAGACCAAGAAGGGGGGCAGGCAAACAGGTGGGAAGGACGCTGGAGGAGAAGCTCCAAGGTATAACCTCCCCTAACTTATATTTTGCTCATCAGAGCTGAGAAAATTTCTGGTCCGGAAGAGAACAGAGTGCAGACCTCCACTTCACTCTGACCCCAGCAAACCTACCTGCCCTTCCCAAACTCCCAAGGTACTGGTCTACACCCCCCAAACCAAAGTGTAGCTCTGGTGCCATGAAATACCCTCTGCTCCAACCCTACACAGCTTCTATAGCCAGAGGCATCCAAGCCCAGCCTTCTTCCTCTCTGGCTCTGTCTCAGTTTTCTTGCCAACTCTATAAACAGAAGAAATCACTTACCATGGGCTTTTTCTGCCTCAGAGGAAAAACTCTTAGGAAGAAAGTTTAAGTCAAACCCAGGAAGAGGGAAGTAACTTGGCCAAGCAGCGTCAGCACAAGGAGTGGTGCTGACGGGGTGCCCTCAGGGAGTTGAGGCCCTGGGGAGGCAAGGTCCTCATGGAGGAGGGGCCTAAAGAGTATGAGCACTAACAAGGCTGGGCCTCAGGGAGTTGGGGCAGAAGGGGCCTGGGAAGGATGTGAAAGTAGAAAGGAGGTGGTGCAAGCCACCATTTCCTCTCACCTGCTGCATTTTGTCTCTCTGCTTTTAACCTTGCCTTCAGAGCACGTCACTCTTGTGTTCAAAGCGATGCAATGACTCTTCAGTTCATTAAATATGCCAAAGTTCTCACATGGCCTACAAACATCTACTTAATCTGTCCACCCTTTTGCAGATTCTCTCTCACTCTTTCCCTCTCAGGGCTCTGCTCCAGCCAGATTGGCCTTCTGGCAATGCCTTGTTCATGCCAGATATGTTCCCATTTCAGGGCTTTTGCCCTTACTGCCCACCACCTTGTCCTTGCCCCATCACTTATAATGCTCTTCTCCCAGACATCCACATGGCTCTTTCACCACCTTCATGTCTTAGCTCAAATATCATCTTTTCAATGAGACTGCCCTATTGACTTTAATGAAAATTGTAACAGCACACCTCCACACATATTATTGATCCCACTTTTCCTGTTCTGTTCTCCATGCACTTAGCACTTTTAAATGGACAACTTTATATATTTTATTTATTTTATTGTCTGTCTTTCCCTGGTAGGACAGAAATTTTTGCTTGTTTGATTCACAGATATATCCCAGGGGCCTGAAATAATGTCTGGCTCATAGCAGATGCTCAGTAAATATTTGTTAAATGAATAAATCAGTGAAAGTCTAATGATTTTTAAACTTTTAAATGACATTAGAATGATCATGCTGATTTGCATTTGTATAACCTAAATGTACTTCTCTTAACTCACTTTATTATGTTTTTCACTACAAAAGTAAAAATTATTGAGCTTATTGAGCATATTTGGCTAATAATGATTAATACAAACTTTTATGAAACTGAAGAAATATATTCAGACTTAGAAATTTGCTACATTAAATTATTAAATAGAATCCATGACATTTGGGAGGAAAACAAAGCCATTACCTTGGAAACAGTTATTTTATATTTATATTTATATAATATAAACACTATATATCAAATACAACTATTTGATATCTCAATCAGATCTAGACATAAAAATAGACATGCAGATATAGATCCAGATGTGGACATACATATGGATATATATAGGTGTTAATTTTAAGTTAGTCTGCATAGCGACCTACTTCTTGCTTACTGCTAAGCAAGCTCAATATGAGAAGGGTAGTAAATTGAAATCTGTGTCTAATAAGATATGTCATGCCCTCTCACAAAGTAAATTCACAAAAAGATAAATTTGGATTGGATTTGCAGGAACAATTAACATGAACTGACATCAGTTGTGGTCAGGAATGGCATAAGGAAATCAAACTATCAGTAAGGTCCCCAAATTATGAATCACATCATGCCTACAGCAAAATGTTGCAGATAAATCACAGTGAGAGATGCCACAATAAATCAGTGAATTCCTGTGAAATAAAAGTGATTTGTTTGACTTTGCAAATGATTTAAAATATTGCCTTCAGTTCTGTATACTTTCAAACAGTACCCTGAAAGGAAATCCAAGATAAGCAATAGGAATAAATACAGCTTGAAGATACAACAGGAGTGAATCAAACGTTTCTATCCTTAAGTAATAGATAAAATATAAGGGGGCTAGGTTAGGATTATTTTCAGCAATAAGCACAGAAAACTAGTAGTGGCTTAAACATACAGAGATTTAGTTGTCTCAGGCAACAAGAGGCCTGGAGGTAGGCAATCCAGAGTTTTAAAGGGGGCTCAATTAAGTCTTAGAGAAGGGTCTTTCCATCTCTCTCCTGCACATCATTAGCAAATAGATCTTCATCTTCATACTTCAGATCTCATGGTTGCAAGATGGTTGCTCTACCCCTAATCTCACATCCACATTCCAGACAGGAAGAAGGAGAAAGAAAAGAAAGAACTAGCAGTACTTGTATCAGGAGGACAAAGGTTTCCTAAAACCCTGGCTGATTTCTACCTACTCGGTGGCCAGAACAGTATCACTGGGCTACCTCAGCAGCAAAACGGTATGGAAAGACAGATATTTTTAGGTAGCACATTGTTTATTTAAACAAAATTAGGATTCTGTTAGTAAAAAAAGAAGGGAAGACGTATATTCAATAGGCAACAAGGAGCAGATGTGTTATAAAGGTAGTAGAGAAAGGGAAGAGAACTTCATAGATGATAGAGTTTTGAGAAATGAGTGCATTTAGGGGCAGGCAAAAGCAAGTAGATCATCATAGGACAGAAAACAAAAGGACCTAGATGTAAAAGGAAAATAGGAATATCGTTAAAAGAGTTATTTATGTTTTGCAATATGATTAGGTTTGTATAATATTTTGACACATTTTTAAATTATCTTTTAATGTGAGGAAGAGCATTACATTATGATTCTGTAAGTCATGCCATCTGATAATTGACATTAATATTCCTTCTCAAATGGAGCATATATATATATATATATATATATATATATATACATATATACATATATATTTAAAGATAGTGTAGGTTCCTGGGGCAGATGGCTGGAGCTAAAAAAAAGAAGGAAATAAATGAGTGTCCAATTCTCTACAAACACCAGACACTAACTGTTCTATAACTGGTAATATATTAGATTACTTCAAACATGTCAAAAAGTGAATCATTGCACAGCCAGCTGATAGGTGTCTTTAAACAAGTGTTTCATCTTTCTGAGGAAAATCTTTTCCTTTTGTGAATGCAATTTCACAGCCACAATAATAACAACTTTTTGTTTTTGTTGTTTTACAAATTTTTTTAAACAGTTGTTCTTCAAAATGTGACCCATACAGGGAGAGGCACCTGGGTGGCTCAGTCAGCCAAGTGGCCAACTCCTGATTTTGGCTGAGGTCATGATCTCAGAGTCCTGGGATCAAGCCCCAGGTCAGGCTCCCTGCTCAGCGGGAAGCAGACTTGAGGATTCTCTCTCTCCCTCTCTGTCTGCCCCTCCCTGCCTCTAAAATAAATAAAAATCTAAAAAAAAAAAAAAATGTAACCCTACAATAAATGACCTCACCTGAACCAAACCAGAAATTGGTTAAACTTGTGTCCCCCAAGTCTAACGGCAAAATGTGAATTTCTTTTCACCTTTACCTTAATGTGTTTGAGTTGGCATGTTCAATGTGAATCGTTGTTGCTACCAAATATGATTTGATGGAAGGTCATTTGGACAGCTGGAATTTTAATGTTTCATGTAAACCAGAAAGTAATTTCAAGACCAAAGAGGAGAAATTTATGTTTAAACTTTCATATAAATCTGTCTCACGTTAATGTGAACTTAAAAAAATTAATGGATAAGATAATGCAGTACTTGCAGTATTATTTGAAACAACATAATTTTTCCTTTTTAAAACAAATAAAATTCTTTTTTTAAATTTAAATTCAATTAGCCAACATCTAGTACATCATCAGTTTTTGGTGTAGTGTTCAATGATACATTAGTTGCGTATACACCCAGTGCTCATCACATCAAGTGCCCTCCTTAATGCACATCACCCAGTTTCCCCATCCCCTGACCCACCTCCCTTTCCACAACCCTCAGTTTGTTTCCTGGAGTCAAGAGTCTCTCATGATTTGGCTCCCTCTCTGATTTCTTCCCATTCAGTTTTCCCTCCCTTCCCCTGATCCTCTGCACTATTTCTTATATTCCACATATGAGTGAAACCATATGATGAATGTCTTTCTCTGATTGACTTATTCCACTTAGCATAATACCTATTTCTAATGTCAGTATTTTATGTCAACTAAAATAAATTAGCCACATCCATTTGATACCATAATTTAGCCTTTTATTGATTTGGAAGAAAATATGCTTTACCTTTTTTATACCTTCATTTATTTTACAGGAACTACAAAGGATTTTAATAAACAAAAAGTATAAATACAAAGTGTTATTACTTTCTCTTCCCTTAGTATAATAACTAGATGTGGGAAATATTTTATTTATTTATCAGAAAATCTGAATTTCTCTTACTTTCAATGTAGTTGATGTTAAAATGTTGCCTTACACACTAAAATGGGAAATAGTTAAACATTGATGTAATTAAACAATAATTCCATTCCAATGGCCTTTCTCCATTTCTCTGGGAGCTTGAGTTCCAGTCTGTTCTCCTTGCGCTCCCTTAAGGGGTAGCTTTCATAATGTATAGGAGGATCTTGACCCTGGAAAGTGAATCCAAAGCTCTAGGGGACTTCTGGGCAGTAAATGGAAATGGAAATAATTTCTCAGAGAATAATTCAGTAGTATTGCTTTGCTTCACTTTACTATGTCATGATGAAATGTGCTTCCAAAATATAACATCTTGGATTGCTAGGCAAAAGGTAGGGAAGGATGATATTGCCTCTGGCGTAATTGTTGAAAAGCTAAACCTATGTCAAATTTCTGGCAAGAATGAGAAGTGAAAACTTCGGGGCAGTTCATTTATTCTGAGAAGGCTCTGTCCTGTGTTTAGACATTCGCCAAGCTTCTCTTGGAGACCCATCCGCTTTACTTTGTTTTTGTTTTGTTTTGTTTGTCTTCTCTTTATCAAATCTACGTGCAAAAAACACAACTCAGGTGTAGTGGCAGTAAAACAAAACTCTGGCATCAAAGAGACGTCTTTGTGCTTCTAAATCACAATCTGAAGCGCAAACGCAAGCGCACTAAGTCTGAGCTGCTGGGCACCCGTAGCTCAGATTCTCAGGCTCCGGCACCGGCACCGGAAGTGGCCGCCCAGTTTGACTTCCGCTCCCAGAGTCCAAGCTCTTGTGGCTCGTGCGCCGGCTGTCAGTAAAGCAGTAGGCTTCGGGAAGCATAGAGGCAGCGCGACGTGCCTCGGTGGCAGGGAAGTTTGTGGTGGCGGTGGCATCGCGGGTGTCACCTATGCTGAGCAGGTAGGCTGGCGCGCAGAGTTCCGCCTCTTCCCCGACCCCGGAGGCGGTGGCGCTCAGAGCACCCTCCCGCCCCTCCCCGTGTTCTTCCAGATCCCTTGTTAGCCGCTTCCTTTTCCCCGCACTCCTTCTTGCTCTCAGATATTAGAGACTGTTCGGTGGCCCTTGGACGAAGTTCTTAGTACCTCTCAAGCTTCGCCTTAGGCACAGGGAGGAGTGGGGAGCAAGGTTTTGAGGGAGGAACCCCAAAGCTGACTGAACCAGACTCTGGTCCTAGTTATGTCAGAGCAGCAACAGGGCTTAAAACTAATAAGTACTTGGGGGCGCCTGGGTGGCTCAGTTGGTTAAGCGACTGCCTTCGGCTCAGGTCATGATTCTGGAGTCCCTGGATCGAGTCCCGCATCGGGCTTCCCGGTTAGCGAGGAGCCTGATTTTCCCTCTGACCCTCCCCCCTCTCCTGTACTCTCTCTCATTCTCGCTCTCTCAAATAAGTAAATCTTAAAAACAAAACAAATCTCTCAAATAAATCTTAAAAACAAAACAAATAAGTACTTGGTCAGAAAATTCAGCCTCCTTTCTTACTTAGCTGATTGAATTCAGCTTCCAGGTAGAAGCCAGGTCCTTAGTTCATCGTAAATAATTGATAATCCTTTACGTTGTTTCCTATACTTTGAATTCGCAGAAGAGATTTCATTTCCAGTAATGTTTTGTAAAACAACCAGCAAGAGATTAAATGTAGCTGGGGAGTGCTTTTCTGATTCTAGTGAATAATCAGACCAAATATATACCTATATACATTCCAAAAAGGACTGTTTCCTTGATATAAAGTAAACATAAGCAATTATTGAAGTCACAGAAGTCGTCCAAGAAATTCAAGAGATGTTTCAAACTTCTCATCTTTAGTTGTGTATTTTCCATTTTTTCACCAAAGAAACAACTGTGATCCAGGTACTGTGCTAAGGGCTGGTTAGTCAATTATAAATAGAGCAATGTACTTCCTTTATAGGGACTCACGGTCTAATGGAAGAGACATGTAAATAAATCATTTCATCAGTGTGTTTGCCAGCCTAGGGGTGCCTGTGGAATTGGTAGGGTGTGAATTAGAGGTAAGGTATCCTTTTGTCTCAGTATAGAAGAAAGTAAAAGTTCACCAAGTAGACAAGAAAAACCAGACATTCCAAAGGAAGGCAAGGATATAATCTTGTGTGGAAAAGCATGGCATTACCGGAGAGGAGCAAAGCTTAAAGGACATGGTGTTTGGGGGAGGTGACCCGAGATGAAGGTAGGAAGGTTGGCAGAGACCAGATAATAATGGGTCTCATAAGTCTTGCTAAGAATTTAACAAGAACTTACAAGTAATGAGATGATTTTGCGCAGTGGCCTAATGTCAAATAATACATGTTGAAAGATGATTAGTTGCAGTGTGTTTGAGGCAGGGGCACTGGTTAAAATGAGACCGGATGGCTAAGTGAAAGGTGATTTTGGTAGTACAAAGAAGTTTTGAGGGGTGCCTAGCTGGCTCACTTGGTAGAGCATGCGACGTTTGGTCTTGGGGTGGTGAGTTCAAGCTCCATTTTGGGCAGAGAGATTACTTAAAAAAACGTTTTGAGGGCTAGGTGTAGCAATGACAAGAGAAAGTGGGGAAATAAATTACAGAATATATACAGAAAAGAAAGGTGGAGAGAGTGGTAATTTTATCAAGTATTATAGAAAGCTCAAATAAGGTGATGTTAAAAAGAATCTGGTGGGTTTTAAGGATGTATAGGTGAATTGAAGATGCTCATTTTTTTGGTCTTAATTGAAGTATTGACATACAGTATTCTCTTAGATGTACATGATGATTGGATATTTTTTTTAAAGATTTATTTATTTATTTGAGAGAGCGAGAATGAGAGAGAGAGAGTACATGAGAGGGGGGAGGGTTAGAGGGAGAAGCAGGCTCCTCGCCGAGCAGGGAGCCTGATGCGGGACTCGATCCCGGGACTCCAGGATCATGACCTGAGCCGAAGGCAGTCGCTTTAACCAACTGAGCCACCCAGGCGCCCGATGATTGGATATTTTTATGCGTTATGAAGTCATCACCTCCGTAGGCATAGTTACCCTCTACCACCATACAAGGTTATTGCAGTATTATTGACTGTATTCCCTATGCTGTACATTACATCCCTCTGGCTTATTTATTTTATAACTGGAAGTTTGTTCCTCTTAATCTCTTCAGCCTATTTCACCTGCTCCGCCCCTAACCCCTTTCCACTCTGGTAAGCAACAGTGTGTTTCCTCTATGTATGAGTCTGTTCTGTTTGTTTTGTTTTTTAGATTCCACAAATATTGAAATCATACAGTATTTATCTTTTTCTGTCCTATTTCTCTAGGTCCGTTCATGTTGTGATAAATGGCAAGATTTCATTTATCTTATGGCTTAATATTTTCATTGACTATATACATAGCACATCTTTATCCATTCATCTATCAGTGGACACTTAGGTTCTCTCTCTAGGTTGGCTGTTGAAATAATGTTGCAGTGAACATAGGAATGCATATATCTCTTTGAATTGCTGATCGTGTTTTCTTCGGGTAAATACCCAGAAGTGGAATTGCTGGATTATATGGTAGTTCTATTTTTAATTTTTTGAGGACCCTCCATACTGTTTTCCGTGGTGGCGGCACCAATTTACATTCCCACCTATGGTGCATAATAATTCCTTTTTCTCAACAGCCTCACTGACACTTGTTATTTCTGACAGGTGTGAGGTGGTATCTCATTGTAGTTTTGATTTCCATGATTTGTGATTGTGAACATGTTTTCATGTGTCTGTTGGTCATCTGTATGTCTTTTTTGGAAAAATGTCTATTTAAATTCTGCCCATTTTTTAACTGGGTTTTTTAAATTAAGTTGTATAAGTTTTTAAAATATATATTTTGGTTATTAACCTGTTACTGGATGTATGATTTGCAAATATCCTCTCCCATTCAGTAGGTTGTCTTTTTGTTTTATTGATGATTTCCTTCTGCAAAACCTTTTTAGTTTGATGTAATTTCATTTGTTTGTTTTAGCTTTTTAGCTTTTTGTTTTACCTTGCCTGAGGAAAATGGTTCAAAAAATATTGCTAAGACTGGTGTCAAAGAGCTTACTGCTTATGTTTTCTTCTAGGAGTTTTGTGGTTTCACATCTTATATTCAAGTCCTTAATTCATTTTGAATTAATTTTTCTGTACGGTGTAAAATAGTGGTCCGGTTTCATTCTTCAGCATGTAAACTGCCCAGTTTTCTTAACATTATTTACAAAGAGACTTTATTTTCCCTGTGTGTATTCCTGCCTCCTTGTCATAGATTAATTGACCATCTTTGTGTGGGCTTATATCTGGGCTTTCTGTTCCATTCCATTGCTCTGTGTGTCCTTTTTTTTATGCCAGTACCATACCGTTTTGATCATTACAGCTTTGTAGTTTGATTTGAAATCAGGGAGCATAATACCTCCAGCTTTGTTCTTCTTTCTAAAGATTGCTTTGGCTATTCAGGGTCTTTTTGTGGCTTCATACAAATTTTAGGATTCTTTGTTCCAGTTCTGGGAAAAATGCCATTAGTATTTTGATGGAGATTGCATTGAATCTGTAGATTGTTTTGGGTAGTATGGACATTTTAACAATATTAAGTCTTCCAATCCATGAGCATGATAGATCTTTCCATTTATGTATATCTTCTTCAATTTCTTTCATCAGTGGCTTATAGTTACAGGTCTTTACCTCTGGATAAATTTATTCCCAAGTATTTTATTATTTTTGATGCAATTGTAAATGGGGTTGTTTTCTTAATTTCTCTTTCCAATAGCTCGTTATTAGTGTATAGAAACTCAACCAGCTTCCATATGTAAATTTTGTATTGTGCAATTTTACTGAATTCATTTGTTCATTCTAATAGTTTTTTTGGTTGAACATGGTCAGTTTTAATGGTATAGTAGGGAAAGAAATAGAATGTGGTGGAGTTGAGGAACTGGAGTGTGATTTAAGAAGATTCTTTCAAGTTTAAAGTGAGAAGGAGAGAGGTTGTAACCAGGGAAAATGATGAAAAAAATGGCAAGTTTGGCCTCTAAATTCTGTTGAAGCTAATACTAAAATGGTTTTGTTTTCCCAGAGTGTATACTGGTTGGGCATTTGGAAGAGGCAGAATAGCAATGCCAAAGCACTTGGGAAAAGTCAGGCTAAGATTCTGAGTACTTATTAGTAAGGGTTTGCTGTATAATTTCATCCCACTGAAGGGAAATGAAAACATTATTTTAAAAGAAATAGAAGTTGGTTTAACCGTTAATTAGGAAAAATTTTTTTTCTCATTCTCTGCATGACAACTTTAAGGAATACCTCTTTATATAATTGTTCTTGTTCAGGAGGTCTTTGTTAGTGTTTAGTGTAAATGTACTACTCATTTAATCAATATCAGAGTTGAATATTACTCACCACTTCCTCATAAATAAGAAGACCCAGAATAATGAAGACCTTTAGATGAGGAAAAGTGAGTTTATAGTTTCCTAGGTTAATAACATTATTAAAATTGCATTATCCCTGTCTCACCCTCCATGGCATATGTACTGACACCTGAATTATTTGTCATATTTTTTCTCCCAATTTTTTTTTTTAATAAGTTGGCTATTCACTTTCCATCAGATGTTCTCCTGGTAACAGCTTCTCCTGCTATTAAAGTGGTTACAAATTTCAAGCAGGTAAGAATCTTTATATAACTTTCTTAGTATTGATGTTTTTAAATTTCAGTAACTTGACTAGCATTTAGTGTAGTTACAGTTTCTAAGTGTTTAAAATGACAAATACTCTTTTGATAGTCATTTTAAGATCAAAGCCCAAAGTTTAGAATTATATTAAGTATCAAAAGCACCTAAATGATGTTCAATTTGTCTTTTTTTCCCCCATCTTTTCCTCACACTCAGAATTACTTTTTAGAAAATTTTAAAGTTCTTTTGAGGAAAAATGCTGTGCGAGTCTAACTATGGGTACAAATATATATCATTATTATAAATAGATGTATGTGTATAAATGTGTGTGTCTGAAAATCAGAAAAGTGCTTCTCAGCCACATTTGCTGATAATTAATGTTTCACATGTGTAGTAAGCATCTGAGAACACTTTGTAGTTCCATAAATTTATATTACACACATTATAACATTACATTAGAAGTCTAAGATCATTTGGGTCATAGTATCATAGAAGAGTGATCTCTAAACAGACTTTTTTTTAAGTAGCCTCCACACCCAAAGTGGGGCTTGAACTTACAACCATGAGATCAAGACCTGAGACTAGATCAAGAGTCAGAAGCTCAACCGAGGCACCCCGATCTCTAAACAGTTTTGATGTGGTATGTCACCTGTTAAAGAGTGTTGGCTAAAATCCTAATATATGTATATTTATATGTTTATGAATTATATGCATATGCTATAGTGCTCTAATTATGAATGTTATAATGCCTCTGCAAAAAAGTTAAGTAACTGTTTTCTTCCGATACTTCAGTGAAGTCTACTACCCACAGTCTTTAATACAAGTTGTCACTATATTGACATTAAGCACCGATGGTGTAAGAGCAACAGTGGCTAAACTGGACTAGGGGTTATTGTATTCTTCACTGCCACGCACTCAGTTAAATAAATTAGAGCCAGTAAAAAACGTTTTATTAAATCCTGACTCATAGTGTACGTCTTTTTAATACTCTGTATGATGAAATGGGTTGTAGGCATAAAGCACTTGTTCTGTGCACAGTAGTGTTGTCTCAAGGAAAAGCAGTTGTGCTGTTGCTGAGTTGCAAGAGGAACTAATTTCTCTTTTACGGACACCAGCTTTACTTGAAAGAACAACTGACACACTATAGTAATTCATATTTGGAAAATGAGTGAAGTGAGCCTATCACTTCAAGGAAAACAAGTGACAGTATTTGTTGCCAATAGGACAAAATTAGAGCTTTCAAGCCAGAATTAGAACTTTGGAAAACTCATTTCCTCACTGTGAGCCTCGTGGTACTTAAAGACATTTCTAATGAGATTGTTGGTGATAATAATGTCATTTGTTGGTATTTTAGTGATATAAAATGTGTTAACATTGGGCAGATCTCCATAACTTAGGGAACCCCTGTTGTCGAGATGACGAATGTGATGTTACAAGATCCATTCAAAGTGCAGGATAGACCAGTGGATTTCACAAGAACAGATGATGAAAAATTCTTTGATATGGTTTCAAATTCTCCATTGCAACTAATCTTTAAGAAATCAGGCTTGTTGAGTTTTAGTGTAACATCAAAGAAGAATATACAGTTCTCTGAAAAGGCTGCATATACGTCAACCAGATTAACATATTGCAACAGTTGGAATGGAGAAGCAGATCTTCTGTTAAGACCAGATGTTAAAGATATTTGCAAAAATGTGAAACAGTGCCATTCTCCTCTCTTAATTTCTTTTGTTTTGGAAAAAAATGTTATTTTTTATTAAAAGGGTATTATATCTGTTTAACATGTATTGGATTTATTATACTTCTAATTAAATTAAATATTTTACATTTTTCTCAGTTTTCATACCTAATGTAGCAGATATTACTGGGTTTAACTCACACAGACAAAAGTTCTTTGGAGTCCCCAGTCATCTGTTAAGTGTGTAAAGTGGTTTTGAGACTAAAGGTTTGAGAACCGCCTGGGCCATGTAGTAGGATTTCCCAGTAGTATTTAGGGGGCAGCTGAGGTCAAATGCCAGTCTTCAAGGTGGGGTCCTTCCACAGCAGATTGGGTATAGGACTGGAAAAAGCAGGCAGTTCAGTCTGTGGTTGGGGATTTTCAGGGTAATTAATGGTTAAAAATAAGAAAGTAAGGAAATAAAAGTTTGGGCAGAACATGACATGATCTACAATGGAGTCATGGCTATACAGGAAGAGAAATGAGTCCAAGAGGATGCTGATGGGTAGATCATGGTAAGTGGACAGAGAAAACTGTAAGGATAAGGAAATCAACAAGCTGTGGTAAAAGTATGCAGAAGTGGGTAGAGTCAGCCCTCATTTTCCAGGCTAGGAGACTAAGGTGCAGTGACCGGGCTGACTTGCCTGAGTGGTAGGACTAATATTTGAGTTCAAGTCTTAAAATGTGGAGTTAGCCCTCTTTACGCTGTACATAGTACAGTTGGCTGACTTCATTTTATGAATATGAAGTAAGTAGTTTATAAAAACAAATGAAAATATTTTTAGTATTTAAACTTCTTGAAATATTTTTTAAACATACATTTTTACCTTTATGATCTAATACAGGTTTCTAAAGTATTGGAGGAGTTTGATGTTGAAGAGCAACCGAAAACCATGTTAGAAAATCGCTTTCCCAACATTAAGATTATAGAATCCGGAGTAAAGCAACTAAAGAGTAAAGAACACGTAAGAGGATTTCTTTCTTAATGATGCCCACTGTTCAATCTCAGTGAGCTTTTGCCTGCTTTCTTTTGACCCTGTCTGTACTGCTAACACCACTAAGGTCCCTAGCATATAAAGTTTAGTGACACTGATTTGTATTATTACTGGGAAAATTTATACTTACTGTGGGTTTATTGCAATTATACAATTAGTTGATTTAACATTTTAGGTTTCACATTTCACGTGAGCATTAACATTTATATAGTGCCTGCTGTGTTCTGGGCACCACGGTAAGTGCTGGGAGACAACAGGAATAACAGTGAACCTGCCCTGGGCGTGCCCAGTGTCGTAGCGAATATACACATGCACACGTATAACTATAGGGACGTGAAAAGCACAGTCACTGAACTCTTTGATATCAAAGACTTGGTGATAATAATGAAATAATCTCTGATATTAGAGACTTGCGAGGACTTCACAGAGGGAGTAATATTTGAATAGGGTTTAAAAGGTGGGTGAATTAAGAGTTCTTAATTAGGGGCACTGTAGGAAAAGGTGGTGGCTTATTCAAAGGCCCAAAGAAAAGGAAAGGGGCACATGGAAGAGTGACACTGTCAGAGGGACTGCAGTGGGGACAAGGAAAGGAGATTGGCAGACGAGGCCAAAGAAATAAGACTGTGAAGAGCTGTTAACATCATACCAAGACATTTATTTTGTAATCAGTTAAGAAATGAAGAGATTTTAGGGGGAGGCAGGGTGATACCATGGATACTCTTTTAGGAAGGTAGATCTGACAGCAGTGTTGAGGATGAAGTGGGGGGGAGTGAGGGCTGGTGGCCAGCAACCAAATCAGAAGGTGGTTGCAATCATCCAGAATGGTAGAAGGCCTGAACTAAGACGGGGACAGTGTAGTGGAAAGGACGGCCCAGATATGAGTGAGATTTCTACCGTAAACTCAGCAGGACCCAGTAACCCACTGGACACGGGACTGAATAAGGCGGGCTCAGAAAAGGGTGTTGTCAGATGATAACAATATCCTCAGATGAGCTTCAGGCAAGATGGGAAGTGGAGTTTGCCGTTGTTTCCCTAGAGCAGCTCTCATTTGTGAGTTCTCCCTTAGGGAGAAAACACACTTATAATACATTCAGAACACAAATAATTTGACAGGAAAAAATAAGTAAGTACTGAATTTTATGGGGAAAAAATCTGAATCCTAAAACCAGGATAAATTTCTAATATTTATAGTAGTACATATCCTATATCACATCCATGTCAGTTAATTTGCAAATAGAAGTGTGCTCAAATGTATATTAATAGATTGTGAGGGAATTTATATTTGGGCGTTGAATAAATCAGTGCCGCCCATTACCATGTTGAAGTGTCCTAAGTGAGATGTTTGTATTATCTGTCCTTTATATTCTTTAATGAATTAGAGATTGTGTGTTTTGTCTTCATGTCTACTTCCAAAAACGTAACAGTAGCCAATGAAGAGTTCTTGTATGTGTTTTTACAGTAGCTAAATGCAAATTATTTTTTAGATTTGGTCAGGGTCTATAACTACTGTTTGCCAGATAAAATTCTAACCGTATTATCTGCAGGAAGACTCGTGTAGAATTTGTATGTGCATTATACCGTGTGGAATTATTGGCTTTATGTTTTTCTTAAGCACCTGAAGAGTTACAACGGGTAACAGATGTCTCAGTGGATATCAAGTGCTACAGTTATGATTTGCCATGTTTTATAAATCAAACACATGGCACAGTGTTAAGCTCTAAACCACTCTGACAAAGTCTGGCATCTCTCAGTCATATGTACTTATTATAGATACATGCTTTCTAAAGGCTACTACTTAGATGTAGGTTTTCATTCGATATTAAGGAACAAAAATAGTGGATCTCAGATATGTATTTTTAGACTCAATGATGTCATTAAAAATTAAATAACTTAAAAACCAGTACCTGCTAGGATTTAAGGTTAACACATTTTTCATATGAAAATATATGAAGTATATATGAAAATATCCACAAAGAGCATGTTTGCTGGTGAAGTGATTGTTATTTGTACTTAAGAATATAAATACTGTTTTTTAGCACTTCTAATGTTTTTAGATAATGTACCCTTTCCTGCCACACTGTACCCGCCCTGTACCCATACCAGCCGTTAAGGTCTGATACCATTAGTGTTACTGGAGTGGTTGGGGGTGGGAGGGATGGGGTGGCTGGGTGATAGACATTGGGGAGGGTATGTGCTACAGTGAGTGCGGTGAATTGTGCAAGACTGTTGAATCACAGATCTGTACTTCTGAAACAAATAACGCAACATATTTTAAGAAAAAATAAAAAGAAGAAGATAACAGGAGAGGAAGAATGAAGGGGAGTAAGTCAAGAGGGGGAGACGAACCATGAGAGATGATGGACTCTGAAAAACAAACTGAGGGTTCTAGAGGGGAGGAGCGTAGGGGGATGGGTTAGCCTGGTGATGGGTATTAAAGAGGGCACATTCTGCATGGAGCACTGGGTGTTATGCACAAACAATGAATCATGGAACACTACATCAAAAACTAATGATGTAATGTATGGTGATTAACATAACAATAAAAAATTTAAAAAAAAAGAATTACTAGATCTTCCTACAGTAACTTCCACTGAGATCAGAAATATTAAGGCCTGCCCCAGGTATAATATCAGAATGCTCACTTTTAAAATTTCTGAATGTTTAGTTTTTAACCTGAGGTCAACATACCTCCTTGAATATCATGAGATTCCTTATGTTTTATGCAAAATCTGATATGAATGTACCTTTTTTCCCAGGGGAGAAAGACTACTTTTTGCCAGATTCCCAGAATGGTTCATGGCCCTGAACTGATGGTGAATGACTGGACTGAATAAATGCATTCTCATGTTTACTTTGATTTGCAGTTGCTCTAACAAAGTATTGAGTGCCATCAAGAGGCAACCTTAATGTATTTTTTGCTTTCCTCATACTGAGTTTTTTATTTAAAGTGAAATTGTACCCATGGATGAATATGTTTCTCCTCTCCCCTTCCTTGCTCTGTTTTTACAGTGCATTTTAACAGGAGATGGCAGTCAGCATGTGTATAAGAAACTCTGTGTGCTGCAGCTAAACCAAAGTTGATATGTGAAGGAAGTCCTTACGTATTAGGAATCCGTGATACAGTGTTCAGGTAACATTTTGAGGTTGGTTCATGGGAAAGGAACATGCATATTTCTTAGGCTTTTCTATATTTGAATCAAAGTATTCCATTTACAGTGTTAATTCCTAAATTATAGAAGAGGTTTGTTTTATGATCCATAAACCAGAAAGTATTTTTTCTTAAAGATTTTATTTATTTATTTGACAGAGAGAGAGACAGCGAGAGAGAGAACACAAGCAGGGGGAGTGGGAGAGGGAGAAGCGGGCTTCCCGCGGAGCAGTGAGCCCGACGCGGGGCTCAATCCCAGGACCCCTGGGATCATGACCTGAGCCGAAGGCAGACACTTAACCCACTGAGCCACCCAGGTGCCCCAAACCAGAAAGTATTTATAACGTTATTGCCAATTTCAGTTTGGCTTTAGTTGATAATTTGTTGTTTTTTTAGTTCATGCTGATCTGTTTTTTCCATTGTGCATATATCCCAGATACAACAATTAAGCTGAAGGTTATAACTTATACACACATTCATTACTTTAATTTGGGAATATATGATTTGCAATCTAAATAATGTAATGATCTTTTTCCAAAAAGGAAAAACATATCCCAAACTTACTGAACTTACCCCTTAGCAAAAAAAAATTTATATTCAGAAGATCTTTGTGGTACAGAATCATGACAGAATCCCAGAACTGAAAAATTCATTTGGTTTATTGTGCTCAGGAACTATAGTAAACTGTCTTAATAAGGTGAAACTCCGTGGAACCTTCTACAACTTCTGGTAATGGATTTCAGGGCTTTGGGGTTCAGTGACCATTCTTGCCAAGAAACTCTTCCTGGTTTCTGATCATAATATTGTCTTACCTCAAGCTCACTGTTGTAGTTCTGTCTCATAGGGTCATAATTTTACATTTATTAATAATATTTTATATTCTTGAAAATTGATGTTTTCTTTTAGCCTGTTCTTAATTAAATAGGAATGTAGAGAAAACTAGAAAAACTTAATTATAAATTATAATTTAATTATAATTGTAAACATTTCACGTTCCTATTATCAAAGACTGAGTTCATAACTGTGTTCCAGCTAGGCCCTCTACATACATGAGCTAACTACTTATGATAATCCTGTGTGACAGTATTACTCCCATTTTACAAATAGGAAACTCTGATGGAGAAATTAATTTTTTACCTATACTAAAGTAGTTATTAAGTCTATCAGAAGTACAATTTATTTTTATTTATTTTTTAAAGATTTTATTTATTTATTTGACAGAGAGACATAGAAAGGGAACACAAGCAGGGGGAGCGGGAGAGGGAGAAGCAGGCCTCCCGCCGAGCAGGGAGCCCAATACGGGGTTCAATCCCAGGACCCTGGGATCATGACCTGAGCTGAAGGCAGATGCTTAACAACTGAGCCACCCAGGCGCCCCCAGAGGTACAATTTAAACTCATGCCATTGGGGCACCTGAGTGGTTCAGTTGTTAACCGTCTGCCTTCGGCTCAGGTCATGATTCCAGGGTCCTGGGATCGAGCCCCTGAGCCTGCTTCTCCCTCTCCCGCTCTGCCTGCTTGTGTTCCCTCTCTCACTGTCTCTGTCAAGTGGATAAATAAAATCTTTAAAAATATAAAATAAAAATTCATGCCATTTATCTCCATGTCCAGTGTTTTTAACATCTTTCTTAAATTACTGTCCTCAGTGAAGGACAAACTAAAATTAACTATTTTTTTCTTGTAGCATTTTAAACAAGTCAATTTCAGGCATTTTTTATTATTACAATAAAGTTTTGGGTGAATTTAATAGAAATTTAGTAGAAATAGAATTTAATAGAACTTGACACAGTAGGAAGAGGAATTTGGCTATTCAGATATCATCCTGAAGTAGTGGAACTATTCTGTACTTTTGAAAGTGCCACAAAAATGACCATGGCTGGGACGCCTGGGTGGCTTAGTTGTTAAGCGTCTGCCTTCAGCTCAGGTCATGATCCCAGAATCTTGGGATCGAGTCCTGCATTGGGCTTCCTGCTCAGCAGGAAACCTGCTTCTCCCTCTGCCCCCCTCATGCTCGCACATGCTCTCTCATACAAATAAATAAATAAAATCTTAAAAAAAAAAAAAATGACCAGGGCTTCCCTAAGCTCATTATGATCTTTTTTAGGGGGCAGAGGAGGAAGGTGGTAAAGGCATCAATTAGTTGTCTTATAATGGTAAGACAGAACATTTTTTTCTGATAAATGTTAAGACTATTGTGCCTGCTCCTAACAGCTTTATTTACATTATCTTAATGCTTACAGAGGCCTAATGAGATAGAGTCACTTCTTGTTTCCATTTATAGTTGAAGAACCAGAGGCACAGAGGGGTTAAGCAACTTGCCCAAGTTACTAACTGGGGGCAGTTACTAACTTCTAGGACCAAGGACTCTTAACCACCAAGCTGTTGTGCTGCTCTTTCATGCAAGTTTTGAGTGTTGAGTGACTCCAGGGAAAGTGTCAACTGAAGGACTAGACGAAAAGGAATAACCCTGTATGTAGGATACCGATCAGTGTCCTGTTAATAAATTGATTTGATCAAGGAGTTAGGAATGTGTTGAACTAGAGGTCTTGCTGCTTGTTGGAATTCTGAACTACTCTAAATGTGATGACCTAAAAAGCAAGGAAAATCAGCAGAGGCATTGCTATGAAGACAGCTTGGGTGAAACAGCATTTGTAATATTGGGAGGGTACCTCCTGGCAGAGTGGGAAAGAGATTTATTTTGTTACTTTGTAAATCAGATAAAATTCCTACATTTTAAGAATATTATCACTGAAGCCTCTTGCTTCAAGTTTTGCCCTCTATTTACAGAACACTGTCTCCTTCTCTTTTTAATACCGGACTTTCAGAGACAGCTTACTAAAGCTAAAAGAATAAGTGACCATAGGGAGTGTCGGTGGCATTGCACTTGAACTGGTGTTAAGTGTATATTTTTAGATACTATTTAAACACTGCTGTATGATTCATGTGATTATTGGCAGACTAGAAACATCTTGGTATTCTGAAATTCAAAGATAAATGTAATTGTTTTTCATATATTTTCAAGGAAAATGTCCACTTTATATTTTTAGCTTTCATGGAATTCATAGTTGCAGAAATGTCATTGCCAAACATGAGTTTAGGGAATATTTTCTGTCTCAAGGGGTCACACACAGGTGACTGGAGAGATGTGACCCATAGAGGTGTTTGATAAGCATGTACTATATTGAAAAACATTTTTCATACTTTAGGGACTTCTAAATCTCTAAAGTGCACACTTTTAGAGATTTCTAGTCACAGCCCCCACCACTTTTGATTGTTTATACCCATCCTGCTTCACTCATTTATATGGTTACCTGTCTAGCCCATGACTCCCTATTTCAAGATCTGTGGTACTCCCAGCTCCTGGTTTTTTTGGAAGTTGAAACTTTAGTTCTTTGATGCAGGAGCAGCTGAATTCTTGACTTCATAGCTCATTGCTGAAAAATCAGGGGCTAGAATTGCACATAAAAGAACCGCATATACAACTGAAGATATAGAATCTGGTTCATTAATTCACAGATGAAACTGTTTAGTTTTAAGCCATATAGAAAAGGCTGTAAGAACATTGAGTGAAATATAGTTGGGGGAGATAGGAATATAGATAATATTTATTTCTATATTCTACATGACAGATTATCTAGGATTTTTTTTCATGAAAAATATGTATGAGTAAAACTGGAAATGTAGTGAATTAAATGAACCAGCCATCTGCACCTTTGCAAATATGCTGCAGTTGGACAGCACCTAAGGTAATTTTACAAAAAATGCAAGTGAGTTATAAAAGACATACAAACCTCAGTTTTTTTATTTTAAAAGAGCTTTTTGTTTGTTTTTAACTTTCGGCTTATAAAATTCAAGAAGAATTTTTTAACTTTTGAGGATGCTAAAAATTGACAAAATTTTAAAAATTGATGGCTAATTTTTTTATTGAATTATAACTGACATACATTATATTAGTTTTAGGTGTACAACAATAGTGATTGTTCATACTTCTTACCCACCTCCCCTCTGGCAACCACCAGTTCTCTGAATTTAATAATCTGGTTTTTTGTTTGTCTCTTTTTTATTTTGTTTCTTAAATTCCACATATGAGTGAAATCATAGGGTACTTGGCTTTCCCTGATTTAAATTTCACATAGCATAATACTCTCTAGGTCCATCCATATTGTTGCAAATGGCAAGATCCCATTCTTTTTTATGGCTGAATAGTACACACACACACCATACACATATATACCACATCTTTATTCACCTATGGATGGACACTTGGATTGCTTCCATATCTTGCCTGTTACAAATAATGCTACAGTTAACATGGGGGTGCATATATCTTTTTGAACTAGTGTTTTTTTTTCTTTGGGTAAATACTCGTGAGTGGAGTTATTGGTCATATGGTAATTCTAGTAATTTTTTGAGGAATCTCCATACTGTTTTTCACAGTGGCTGTACCAATTTGTATTCTCAGCAACAGTGCACAAGGGGTCTTGTTTCTCCACACTCTCACCAACACTTGTTATTTCTTGTCTTTTTGATTCTAGACATTCCAACAGGTGTAAGGTGATACCTCATTGTGGATTTGATTTGCATTTCTCTGATGATTAGTGTTGTTGAGCATCTTTTCATGTGTCTGTTACCATCTGTATGTCTTTGGGAAAATGTCTGTCAGGTCCTCTGCCCATTTTTATTTTGTTTTTTTTGTTTTGTTTTTGTTTTTTTGTGGTTTTTTTTTTTTTTGGTTACTGAGTTGTAGGAGTACTTCCTATGTTTTGGATATCAACCCTTTATCCGACAGATTGTACCTTTCATATTAACCATGTATTTAACATGCAAAAACACATTATATATACAATAAACACCTGATTGAAAGATCCACTTTATAACTGTTTATCACGAAATATTAAAATAATAAAGTGATCAAAAGACATAACTTAGTTTAGTCATGCTGTATAAACATGAGAATCATAACATTGCCTAAAAACTTGAAAACAAA